GGAGATCACGCTTTCTAGACGTGTGCTGCTGTGTAAGTTAACACTGCCATTTCTGATCCGCATTCCCCAAGAGGCAAAAGGGGCCGAGCGATACAAACTGGCTGAGTTTTCGGAAGGACTGAAACACATCAGGACGTAAAGACCCAGCGGGGCATCAAGCGCTACTGGGCTAGGTAGGACAGGGCACAGGAAAACACTCCGCGGGGGCGCCTGGCTGGCTAAGTGGGTTAAGATGCTCACTCCTGGTTTCACCGTGGCTCAGGTCATGATCTCACAGCTTGTGAGTTCCGGTCCCACGTCAGGCTCTGTGCCGACAGGCCAAAGCCTGCTTGGGATTCTCCCTCTTTCTCAGAACAAATCAATACATCTAGAAAAAGAAGAAGACGCTCTGGGACCGGGGTGGGTCATTTCCTGCGGAGGAAGGTTGCCAAGCCGGCCAGTGCTGTGGAGACCCGGCTCAGGCAGGGGTGGGGGGTCCTCCTCCCGCCCCGTGGCCCACACACACTCGAGGCCACACAGGCTCTCCCGCTCGCACTTTATTAAGTACGGGACGGCTGGTTACGACAGAGGCGGAAGTGGCGGGAAGGCCCAGCCCCCACCCCCACCATCACTGACACACGAAAATAAATAAATAAATAATAAATAAATAAATAAATAGCCGGGGGCGGGCACGGGGCAGAAGTGGCACAGCAAACACTGACAACACGGGGACACAAAAGCCCCCCCCAGCTGTGGCCACCATCAACGCTGGACTGATACCAGTACCATGATCAGGGAAATGTGGGGCTCTCGGCCACAGAAGCCCCCAGAGCCGTTGGGTGGGCCCTCCCCGGATCACGTTTGTGGAGGGGTGGGAGTCTTCAGCACTTGACACGTATGGACAGAAATCTGGACCCCTAGCTAGTCCAGTCAGATCCAGATTGTCAAGAGGCCACGCTCTCTCAGACTTCTGGGTTGTTCTCTTTAGGATCGAAGAGACCAGTGAGTCATTATTACCTGGTGTTCTGATCGGTCTACCCAGGAGTGAGGACCTGAAAGGGTCATTGTCACTTTGCCTTCTGATTGGTCCACTCAGGGATCAGGACGATAATGGCCGGTGGTTCCCTAGACCTCTGACTGGTCAGCAGGAACCCAAGGCCAGGACTGGAGGGAGGAAGGGCTCTAGAGGCCCCAGGGAAGGAGTTGGGGATTAAGTGGTCAGGGTTAGGGGAAATCTTCAGTGGGCACAAGGCCCAGATTTCAAAGAGGGGAGTTCACGAGGCAGGAGATAAGGCCACCTGGCTGGGTCAGGCCAGGGCGAACTGGTAGGGGGAGGGGGACAGCCTCCGGAACGGCAAAGAGTGCCCAGCCACCACTGGGAGGGGACGCGAGGGCCCTAACACCTTCCCTGGGTCCCAACCCCACCAGGCTACAGAAAACGGGGCCCAGGGGCCGGCAGCTCTTGGCCCATCGCCTCCATCTACGGGATCGGGGTGGAGGGTTGCGGTTGCTGGTCAGGTGGGCTCAGTCCTCCAACCCCTCCATCAAGTCCGCGATGCTCTCCACATAGTAATGGGGCACGAGGTCGTGCTGGCCAGACGCCAGGTAGGCCCGGGCCTCCTCCAGGCGGGAGACGCCTGTGAGCGTGAGCACGGTGGTCATGCCACAGCGGTGGCCGAAGAGGATGTCGGTCTCCAGGCGGTCACCCACCATGAGCGTGCGGGTGGGGTCCACGCTGAAGTGCTCCGTGATACACTCGAACATGTAAGGGCTGGGCTTGCCCACCACCAGGGCCTGGCGACCCGAGGCTGTCTCCACTGCAGCAGCCAGGCTCCCAGTGCCTGCAGGGAGATGGAGACGTGGTCAGTGCGGAGCGGTCGCAGGGGAGGCATGCAGGCTTGGAAACAGAATTCCAGGGAGGCGGTGTGGCATGGGGGTTAAATGAGGCACTACAATGGGTCAAAATCTTCCCAGTCTTCGTGGTTAAGAGTACAGACTGCGACCAGATGCCTGGATTCAGGCTCCATCAGCTCCGCCCTCCTCGGGAAGGCCACCTAACCTCGCCGTGCCTCCGTTTTCCCATCGCTAACATGGCCCGGTAGGGGCTGAATGAGCCACTGCGTGTAACCGGGCCTGGCTCAGCCAGTCCCGTCTGGGGTTCACTGTTGGACCCTGGCAGCTGTGTGCCTCTTTGGGCAAGCCACGTGACCCTCTCTGAGTTTCCTTGGACTCACCGGAAAAGGAGGATCCAAGTGATAATTGCCCACCTTCAAGAGGTGCTGTGGGCTTCGCAGGAGCAAGTGGTTTGGAAAGCGGAAAGTACTTAACGGACAGCAGTGTGGTTACCACCACAGGAATGTGGGCTCCTGGCATCAGAAACTGGCACAGCCCTTTTGGAACGCAGCAGGGCAGAGAAACGTTCGCACCTCTGCCCCAGTCGGCCTCGGCCGGGAAAGCGATCACAGGCAGAGAAATTCAAACTGGAGACAAAAAGCTACATGCCTGAAGATGTCCGCGGCCCCAGTAACTATAATAAGCAAAACTGTGGACATGCCCAAGAATTTAACAATAGGAGGACTGTTTAGAAAAGGGCAGTCCTGACTCCCAGCCCCGTACCCTCCTGCCCCACACAATGAGTCCACTGTGCCCGTCCCACAGGCACATCTTTGTGCCGGACGGTTCTGCCTTCGCATTAATGTCCCTGAACCAACGATGATGATAATCACTATTTACTGAGCACATTCTAAAGTGGGCTGTGCTGGGTGCTCACGGAAGCCCATTTCACGGATGAGAAAGCTGACGCCCTGTGACCCTGGGTAACTTATCCGGGGCCGCACAGCTTCGCGAGCAGCAGTCAAAGGATATGTGTTCGGGTGGGTCTGACCCAGTCCTGCGCTGGGCCGGCTTGTCCCGGCTTGGGAGTGCTGAATGCTTCACTTTCAGGAATTTGGTGAACCGCTTGTGAAAGCCACGATGAAAAGTCAACTTACCATCTAAACGTACAGTCAAATTAACTGTTGAAAAGCAAAGGCACTAAGTTCTCAAAACTCATTTCTTGGGGCGCCTGGGTGGCGCAGTCGGTTAAGC